GCCGCGGGCGCCACCTGAGGGAGCCGCCGCCGCGGGACCCGAGCTGATCGGACCGGACCCCGCCTCCCGAGGCCACCCGGGGCCCAGCAGCCGCCCGCAGAGGCGCCGAGCAACTTCGGTGAGTGAGGGGCCGGCGCCGCTGGTGGCGGGTCCCCGGCTTCCGGTGCCCCGGGCTTCTCTGGGGCTTCCGCTTCTCTGAGGGGACCGCCTCCGATGCGCGGACCCCCTTCTCCGAGGGACCCCCGCCTCTCTCAGGGGAGACCCCCTTCTCCGAGGGACCCCCACCTCTGAGGGACCCCCACTTTTCGGAGGGACCCCACCTCTCTGAGATACTCCTTTCCTCTGAGGGACCTCCACTCTTCTGAGGGGCGCCCCCCTTCTCTGATGGACGCTCCACTTTTCTGAGGGACCCCCTGTCTCTGCGAGGGAGCCCTCCCTCCCCCGTGTCTTTGAGGGACCGCCTGCTTCACTGAGGGCCCCGCTCCCTGAGCCCCCTCCTAACTTGTCTAAAGAGACCCCTGCTTCTCTGAGCGGTGCTCTGTCTCTGAGGGAACCCCCCCGATTTCCTGGGGACCCTTGCTTCTCTCAGGAGACACCCTGCTTCTGGGGGACCCTCCTCGCTTCTCTGGGGGGCCCCACCCTCTCTGAGGAGACCTCCCGGCCTTTCCAGGGACCCCCTCCCCGCCCCCCGTTCTCTGAGGAGAGCCCTGCTTCTCTGAGCTGTTGTCCCTCTTATCCCTTTTTGCCCTTGCTTTTCTAAGGTGTCTCCCACTTTGCACAGGGCCCCTTTCCCCCTGCCTTTCTGAGATGCTCTCCCTGCTGTCCCCCCTCCCTGGGTGACCTCCTCCTTCTCCCAAGCGTCCCCAACTAATCTGAGGTGTTGCTGCTTCTGTCAGAATCCCTTCTGGGCATGTTCCCCACTTTTCTGAACTATCCCCACTCTTGATGGGACCCCTTACTTTTTGATGAGTGCCTTCTGTTCCCTGAAATGGTATTGATTTGACTGGGATCCTTAGTTCCCAGAGGAAAAGTTCCCCACTTTCCCAAAATGTTTTCTTTTGGGCTCTCCACTAATCTGTGGAAGCCACAATTTTCTGAGGGGTCCCTGGCTCCTCCAGAGGTTCTCCCCTTAATATGGGATGTCCTTCTCCTAGGGGATCCTCATGTCTCTTAAGTGTGCCTCCACTTTTCCAAGATATCCTCTGCTGGTGGGAAACACTGTGGATTTCCTCACTTCTCTGGTGCCCCCGCATTCTGAGGAGTTCCCCTCTCACTTGCCTGAGGACATTTCCCCCTTTCCTGAGGTTTCCTGCCTGATTCTCTAAGGGAGGAGCTCTTCCTTCATTTTCCTTGGATCCCCTAACTTCAAGGTTCCCCTGTTTCTGTTTGGGGTACCCTCTTCCTCCTTTCTGGAAGGAGAGACCAGAAATGTCCCCCCTCTTCTGTCTTCTTTCTTGCCCGATTGGAGGAGGAGTTCTTTGAACTTTGACCTCAGCTTCCAAGGACCTGGAGAATTTTGTGGCTGGAAAGGAATTTGGGAGACAGTCAAACAGACAGTTTCTCTCGTCCTTCTGAGACCTGCTAGATTTGAGGGGGAGCAGGGGCTGTTGCCAGATGACCACCTTGGTTACTCCATTTTTGAGCCGTGGGCCACCACAGTGTTGTCAGGCCATTGTGGAGGCGGGAGGGACAGGGCTGGAGCATTATCCTCCTATTATTCCCCATTATCACACTGTCAGGCTGTGGGACCGACCCACTTCCTGTCCCATCCCTCAGTCCTCCTTCTGCATAGTGTAGCACACCACCCTCTCACCCCCCCAAAAAAGGAGAAGCAAAAACACTCCTTCAGGTCTTCCTGCTATGTTTTCTCTGATTCACCCCTTGATCTCTAGAGGATCCCCAGTTTGTGGGCCAGTCTGGTTTGAATGGCAGGGCAAGAAGCAGGAAATGGGTCACCTTAGATCCAGGAACAGTGGAAGGGAGGCAAAGGACAGGGAATTTGACAGTATTTCTCTAAGTTTTAGGTAACTTCAGCCTGGCCCAAAGGAAGTTTTTACATGGCTTTTACAAATCTCATGTGTACTTTTTTTAATGGCCCACCCTGGATTCCAAATTCACTCCAGTAGCTAATTTTATCTGCTTTGCCAAATGCAGAGCTCTCTGGAGCCCAAGTAGATGAATGCTGGCATTGAGAGATGGTCCAAAGGACAGGAATGAACTCAGTTTGAAACCTGAGTAACTTGTAACCACTTCGTGTCCATGTACAAGTCTCCAGCTAAAAACATGGGGAGAATGTATTTGAAGTGGAGTTCTGAAATGTAGGCTGAACTGTTTGGTTTAGCATTTCAACAAGTTCTTCTCTGACTCTGCTAGAACTGCAGTTCACTTTACAGTGTGACTTAAGGCTGTCTCTCTCCTGTTCATTTCCATCTGGGTCTTGCTTAATTTGAGTCCTTTGTGAAGATTCCTGCCGAGGCTATAATTTGAGTTCTAAATCTGTCGGTGGACCATGTGGACACAAGTTTCAACTCGAGCTATTTTCTTCTGTAGAGAAGCGCTTGGAGAGTTTCCTAGGCCCTTTGCTCCTGGGGTAGTCAAGTCCAGGCAGGAAGGTGCCGCAGACCTGGAAGTTCTCCTCCTGCCTCTTCCTGGTCAGTTGTAGGCACTGCCCTGAGGGGAAGGGGAAGGATGGTGGGGAGCTTGGGGCTTAGGGTTTCCTGAGACAGGGCAGAGAAGTGCCGGCACATATTTATTATTTTGAATGAAACCCATAGGACCAGTAGGATGGGGTGTTGGAAAGGGAAGGGGGAGCTTTGAAGTCAGGACTTGATTCAGGTTTTGGTCTGTCTTTCCTAGTTGTGTGGTCTTTTACAAGTTATAATGCAAAATCAGCACATTACTAAATATTTGAGGGGTCACATATCTATGTGTGTGAAGGTGCCGACAGATGGGAAGTGCTTCCTAGACAATGAATGAATGAATCTGAGGTAATGAAGGGGAGGCAGCCCGCATAAAGCCTAGCACATGGTTGGTGTGCAATAAAGGTTGACTGTTGTGCTCAAGAGATTAAGGTTCTGGTCTGGACTTCCAGACCAGGAAGCACTTGATATTCTGCCAAGGCTAAATATGCTCATAGAGAAAGAACTGTGGTATGTCTCTTGCAAAACCCATTGCCACCCTGGGTCTTGTAGCGTTTTTCTGTGTTCTCATAGCAGATGTGAGATGGATTTGCTGTGTAGCAGACATTTGTGTTGCCTTGGTCTTGCCTTCTGCCTCTGTAAAATGGGGTGATTTGTGAGTTGAGGGCAAGTAGGGAGATGTATTACTATAATTAGACTGTAGGCAAAATAGAAGATTATAATGAACTTTAGGAGTTGTGGGAAGAAAAAAGTAGGTGAACTATAAACCTAAAGGATCATATCCGTATTTTGGGACTGTTTGAGTGAGTGATATACAGCAGTTACTTGGTGAGTGTCTCTTCTTACACATTAGAACCTTGAAAGCAGAATGTTCTTTTAGAGTAATGGATCAGATTTGGGGATAAAAGACTGGGAAAGTGATGTACAAAGGCATTTGATGTCCCATAATAATAGTGCATTGAGAGGGCCAGTGTGTGGCTTAGTGCCCATGAGGAGATCAGAGTTCACCTTGAGCTCCCAGGATCTAGAGAGCTCTAGAAGATGCTAACTCAGCCTCTGGGGGTGGGGGTGGAGGTAGCGGCTAGGGTGGGCAGGACTTTTTTTTTTTTTGAGAGGATTCTTTTTTTTTAGCCATTAGTGAAAGTCCTAAAATCATGGCCAGTGAGTTGGGCCTAGCCTTTTTCACTTACTAGTGTGGTGACAGATGGCACTTGCCTCTAATATCTAAAACCCAGGGGGAAATAATGGGTGAAAATCTCTGCTAGGCCTCCACTGGGCTACTCCCAGGTTTGAAGGATTCCCGCCCACCTTTGAAATTATACCCACTCCTTCCCTCTTTCCCTCCTTCCTTCCCTCTGCCTGTCTGTCTGTCTGTCTGTCTGTCTCTCGACTTTGCTATTGAGGCAAAGAACCACCAATCTTAAATTTCTCTTAATTCTTTTAAGGACAGTAATTCCATTAAAGAAAAAGGAACAAAGTTTTATTATTTTTAAAGTATAAAAAAATAAGGTAAATAACTTTAAAGGGATCACTATCCCTTTTGAAATTATGCTGCGTCTTTTGTGTGCCACAGACTTCACTTTGGTGGATGGTGGCGCCACCACCAATTCTCTTTTATCTAACAGGAAGTTTTTTTTAACTTTTTGTTTTAATTGAAAGATCCTTACAGCGATAAAAACCCTTGGATAGTTAGAAATGATATTGATCTAGGTACATTTATTAGATGTAATGTAACATGGTTATCCGTCGGTGGGGAGCTCTAAAAGGCATGTGGGTCCCAACACTGCCCAGATTCTAACTCTGGACGATAAACTGTTGATTTATATAGCTGAAATAGCTAGGGAAGTCAGGGTTTCCTTCCTGTTGGAGACAGCACTGGGGGCATTAAATCCCTGTGGATCTTGATGATTAGAAAGAAGCTGACCTCTTTTGGAATTGGGAAATAACTACTGTATGAAGTCGTTCCATCCAAGTGAGTGGAAGGTGTTATTTTTAATTTGTAGTATTAATTTTGGCTTTATCCTCTCTGCAGCCTGGCTGCCTTTGTTTATAGTGGTGTGTTGTCTGAATAAGACTTTATCCCTTCAGGGGCACCTGGGTGGCTCAGTTGGTTAAGCGTCTGCCTTCAGCTCAGGGCATGATCCCAGGGTCTTGGGATCGAGCCCCGCATTGGGCTCCCTGTCCTTCCAGCTTGTGCTCTCTCTCACTAGCTCTGTCACTATCTGTCTCTCTCTCTCAAATAAATAAAAAATAAATAAAATCTTTAAAAAAAAAGAATTTATCCCTTCAAACTGGCCTATAAGGGACAGTTTTAACACCCAACTAAACTAGGTTTTCCTGTGTGGCCATAAGGTAGGGCATTTTTTTTCTTTTTTTTTTTATTTGACAGAGAGAGAGAGACAGCAAGAGAGGGAATACAAGCAGTGGGAGAGGGAGAAGCAGGCTTCCTGTTGAGCAGGGAGCCTGATGTGGGGCTCGA